TATTATCTTTTTTCCCCTTCCTGACTCGAAAATTCCTCCCCTCGCTATTCTGCCTGGCTACCAGCTGTGGGGAGGAGGCACCGCTGGGTTTGTGCACCCCATAAAAACAGTCAGGTTTAGAATTTTCCCCTCTTGCCTTCTCCAAACTAGAGGGTCTGCTTTTAAAAACGACTTGCCCAGAGGTTAAATTGCACTGCCTGCTCACGTTTCCTAAGATGCCAGTAAATTAAGGAATGAACCCTATGGAGAGGAGGAGCCTGAGTATTATGGAGATGGGCCAACGCGATGGGGTGTGTGAATATACGGAGAGCAAATGAGACATAAATGCTGGCAGGTTCATAGCTGCAATAATCGGGACCCAGGGCAGGTTGGACTCGGACAGGGCACAGAGCAGGGACAAGTTTTGGGGTTGATCTGAGGGAAGGGAGACCCTAAATGATGCAGGAATCATTAAGAAAAAGCCTGATCAAAACCAGTCCAGGCAGGGAGTATCTCCTGTCGCCTGGCTGCTGAAATCTTGACCTTATATTTTTTGCCTTCGCTGCTTACTGGTTTAAATAATTAAAATAAAGTGAGAAATTTTCCCTAGTTTCTGTGAGCCAAAGCTGCTCACAAATCCCTCCAAGGTTCTGGTCAGCCAGGACAGCCAAACAGTTTTTATTGGGGCGGCATTTCCGACGTGCCACTGCGATGCACATTCCTGCCGCGAACTGATTATGCCAGATCAAATTTATATTTAAAAATTTATACAAAAAATGTATATAAAAACCTACTGTGGAGTGCATGTATGTGGATGTGGGATTGTCCCACGTGGCCGGTGCGCTGGCTCCGTCCTCCCACGCTGTCCCACGTCCCGGTGTGCCAGCGCTTCTTACAGAATCGTAGAGTCATTTAGGTTGGAAGAAGATCTTTAAGATCATCAAGTCCAACTGTCTTGTCTCCTTGTGGGTGCCAGCTTGGGGTGCTGGACATCTCTTTTCTTCTTATCAAGGGGATTGTGCTGGTCCCTGGGCTACCGGCCAGCCCTGCCGGGCTCCCACCGACCGTAGCGTGGCCCGATGGGGACATCTAGCGACATCGCTGAGCGCTCCAAGAGCTCAGCCTAATCCTCACGCTAAACCCTGCGGCTCTAGGACAAGACCGAAGGTTTTAGTTTCCCTTTCCCAGTCGGGTCTGGCCCCCAGTTTGGGAGCTGTTGCATTCGATGACAGTCAGCGCTTTCCACTGGCAAACGTGGATTTTAGCCTCCTGGGAGAGCGATTTAATTAGAGACACGCAGAAACCGATGTGAATTCTACCACGTGTGTTCATCTTTGCGGGGGGTACCCGTGAATACGAGGACTCCATAGAAATTAAACATTCCCTGGTACCTGAGGCGTGTGCTTGGGCACGTATTTATGTTTCTTCAGCCAACATTTTACGCGTTGTTTTGGCTTTTTTTTTTTTCTAAATATGCCAGTGCGCTGATTTTAGCATCCCCAACCGTAACACGTTTCTGAGCAGATACGACAGATGATTCAGCTCTCAGTGGGCTGCACGCAGGATCGTGTGTGTTCAGTTCACTGCCGCGAAAAACCAGGATGAGTTCAGCAGCTCTGAAGGGTGTGTTCCCCTAGAGGGGGGACCCTTTGGTTGTGGGGTAACTCCTGGCCCCACTTTTACCAAACACCGCAATTCGATAAGTCAGAAGAGCTTCTTTTGTCGGCCTCTAAAAATTATACGTGCAATAACGCTTTAGCGGCTGAAATGAGAGGTTTGGCTCTTGCTTTTAAGTTTGGTGTTTGCTAAGAACAAAGGTGTCACGCTGGGGGGATTTTTGTCGCTGAATCTCGTTCTGAAGCTGGATCAGACACTGACAGGAGGGGGCTCCCTGGGGTTGTCCCCAAACTCTTCTCCTGAGGATGCCCAGAACCTGGCTCGTGCACCAGGCAGAGGGTTTTGCCTCAAGTCCTTAAGGCTGCAGCTCACTGTGGGTGGTTTATAAACCACGTAGCGCTTGTTCCTGCTCTCACTCCCAAATAGCTTCTTTGCGGGACTCTTCTGCTGTGCTCGGCGCCGTTCAAACATAAAGCAAGTTATTGGAGTGGGAGAATTACTGCTCGGATGTGCCACAGGCAATATTTACACAGGTTGGAGCTGGGGGTGCTTACTTTTAGCTAATATTTAAAATCATATATCTGCCGGAGGGGATCTTTGCTCCAGAAAAGTCTTGTCCTCCTGCTACAAGCGCTGCTGTTTGTCGCGCTGTGTTGTTACGCGATTTCCTTTAATTTGTGTGTAGTACGTCCTCTGAGCGTGTGACAATTCATGAATTAAGTTATATAGTTAACAAAACCTGTTCTCTAAGCAGTGGTGATCACAACGAATACAAAACTTCCACAATACATATTTCCCGTCGTGGAATAATGTGATTTATCTTGGATCTTAGTCTAAACCTCAGTGCAAACTAAAACACTGATTATATCTGAGTCCTTCAGAATGGTTTTTATAGAATCATTATGGTTGGAAAAGAAATTTAAAATAATCAAATCCAACCATTATCTAATTCTACAAGGTCCACTTCTAAACCATGTCCCCGAGCACCAGATCTAGATGGCTTTTAAATACAGTTTTCCTCAGCACCTGTTGGCTTTGTAACCCAAGTGAGGAGGTGGCTCTGCTGCTCACTCTCCACCAGAAATACGACTCGTGCAGATAGTAAAAACAAAGACTTTTCTGCCCAAGGGTGTCTCTGCTGAGCACTACCATTAGGGTTACGCTTCTGCTTCTTCTGCTTTGCAGGAAGCCGGAGACAACAACCAGTTCTGCTGGAGAAATTTATTCTCCTGCATCAACTTGCTGAGGATCCTCAACAAGCTGACCAAGTGGAAACACTCGAGGACAATGGTAAGGTGACGCCCCGTCTCTCCAAGCCCTGCCGGGGTTGCGCCTTGAGGACGTCCCCAGCTCAGCCCCGCGGGCTCCAGCCCGGTGGAGAATTTCTTCTGGCAGCGCTGGGGCTTCTGCCGCTTCAGGAGTTGCCCATTTGTCTTTCACAGATTGAGCCTTAAATGCAGAAATACTATTTTCTTCTGTAAATAATACGTATTTCTATGAACCTCAAGCCCTCTGCAGCAAGTTTTGGTTATGGAGAACACTCCCGTTCTACCTGCTTGGGGTGTGTGCTGTACGTGGCCAAGGTGTTGGTGCACAGACAATGCTCGTGCAGATTGCTTGAACACGTTGCATTAATTTCATCGAATCATGGAATTGCTTTGGTTGGAAAAGAACTTTAAGATCATCGAGTCCAACTGTTAACCCAGCACGGCCAGCCCCACCACTAACTCATGTCCCTGAGCACCACAGCCGGCTTTTGAATCCCTCCAGGGGTGGGGACGCCACCCCTGCCCTGGGCAGCCTGTGCCAGGGCTTCACAACCCTTTCCCTGAAAGAATTTTTCCTGATGTCCAACCTAAACCTCCCCTGGCGCAACTTGAGGCTGTTTCCTCTTATCCTATTAGTTGTGACTTGTTTCTTGGGACAAGAGACCGACCCCCCTGGCTGCCCCCTCCTGCCAGGGAGCTGCAGAGAGCGATGGGGTCTCCCCTCAGCCTCCTCTGCTCCAGCTGAGCAGCCCCAGCTCCCTCAGCCGCTCCTCCCCACACGTGTTCTCCAGCCCCTGCCCCAGCTCTGCTGCCCTGCTCTGGACACGCTCCAGCCCCTCAAGGTCTTTCCTGTCAGGAGGGGCCCAAAACTGAGCACAAGGTTTGAGGTGTCGAGTCCATGGGGACAATCCCTGCCCTGGACCTGCTGGCCTCACCAGGGCTGACCCGGGCCAGGACGCCGTTGGCCTTCTCGGCCACCCGGGCACACGCTGGCTCAGCTTTGTTGACCAGCACCCCCAGGTCCTTTCCCACCAGGCATTTTCCAGGCGCTCCTCTCTCAGCCCGTAGCGCTGCTGGGGTTGGGATGACCTGAGAGCAGGACCCCTACAACTGAACCTCCCACGACTGTTGCTTGCTTGACAGATGCTGGTGGTCTTTAAGTCGGCCCCGATCCTAAAACGAGCTCTGAAGGTGAAGCAGGCCATGATGCAGCTGTATGTCCTCAAACTGTTGAAAATCCAGACCAAATACCTGGGGCGCCAGTGGAGGAAGAGCAACATGAAAACCATGTCTGCCATTTACCAGAAGGTGCGGCACCGCATGAACGACGACTGGGCTTACGGCAACGGTGAGCGAAGCGTCCTCTTGGCGTGCCGAGCTGAAATCAGCTCGCAAGGGGTTTCACGTGGTTCGATTTGTTTGGGTCGGGATCGGGGAATTTTTCCGAAGCTTTAAGGCACCATCAGGAGGGAACAAGCTGATTGCCTGAGGAAAGGTGGGAATGACTAGGTTGGGATGGGATGTGGTCAGCTCAGGTCTCCAAGATGAGTTTTCGCCAAGCCCAGGCCTGAACTTTTGCGTCTCCAAATCACCGGTGCCATCAAGCCACTAAATTGTCTTGGTATCCCACCAAACGTGCGTGCTTAGGATGGCCACAGAGTGAAAATCTGACCGATGGCTCTGCAGCTCACACCTGAGAAACAACAGCGGTTACATCCCGGCAGTGTGGGGTCTCCGAATCCTTAAGCTGAAGCACAATCTGGATGTGCTGGTCTGTTTAAACAGCCCTTACCTAGCTTAAATCTGTATTTTTTGAGGGATATCATGAAGTTTCTAGTGTTCCTCATGCAGCAATCCATGGGATGCATCACACCACGTGCTTTCATTCCCTTGTAATTACGCCCAGTTGCTGCAACAACTGACTCAAGCATAGGATGAGAAGACAAAGTATGAAAATATTTTTTTTGCCTTAATAACACAGTCCTAAATTTTTGCTCTGCATGTATCTTCTCTTTAACGAGGATTAAGTACAAACATTGGGTAGCATTCCTGTTTCAAAAGAAAACAGGGCAAGAAGTAAAAGCCTAACATCCGAACTTTTTGACAGGGCAGAAAGGCTCGTAAAAGACGGCTTTCAAAATGCTATTTTTTTGTGTGCCACATATTGACATTACATGTTTAAAAGTCAATGATCGTGGTTATTACAGCAAGTGATGAGATTTTTAACATCATTCATATTTAAATTTGTCCCAATTTTTTAAACCCACTTTGTTTTCAGCAGTTCATTGTAAGCTTGCTGGGTTTTAGGCCTATACATTTAATTTTGACCTTCGCCTCAGACATCCAGGGAGTTTTTCAGTAAAAGTTGTGGGGCCGTTCTGAAAAAAAAGCAGGAGCTTGGTGATTCTAGAGAGTCCTTAAAACACACCAAAGTGCAGAAACAATGGCATTTCTATAGAAAGTTTTCTGACTCTCCTTAATTTACAGGGTATTACCTTTAAATACCTTAAATTAAAATACATGCATAGTGGGAATGGATTAGGAATAATTAGGAATAGCTGACTGGCTAATAGTCTGGTCAGTTCAGGCAAGGCTTTGCTATAAAGTCTTCATCGTTTCTTTCACCCAAACCTCATCAGAGTTATTTTTCCCACCGTGTTTTCGTCTCGTTTCTTCTTCAATGTAGATATCGATGCGAGGCCGTGGGATTTCCAGGCCGAAGAATGCACCCTGAGAGCCAACATCGAAGCCTTCAACAGCCGGAGGTACGACAAACCGCAAGACTCGGAGTTTGCGCCGGTGGACAACTGCCTGCAGAGCGTGCTGGGCCAGCGGCTGGAGCTCCCCGAGGACTTCCACTACTCCTACGAGCTCTGGCTGGAGCGGGAGGTGTTTTCTCAGCCCATTCGCTGGGAGGAGCTGCTGCACTACCAGTGAGAGCAACACCTTCACCTGCCCACCCCAGCCCCACCTCAGTAAGGACTCAAGGTGCTACAGGCTGAGGAAAGGAAGGGTTGGGGTTTTTTTTTTGGACCCGGGTGTTCTTAAGCACAGCTGGAAAAAAATAAATGAGTCTTTCCAAAGAGAACAAGCCTTTTTGTATCTACCCGGACACCCCCAAGCATGCAACTGCCATTTTTTGGAGGTTGTCCCTTTCTTGGAGACCATCAACGGGCCTGCCACGGACCAGGGCTCGGTGTCACGCTGGTGGCAGTGGCAAGAGTGCCCTTACCTGGTCTGTACTGCAGATTGACACCAGTTCATGAGAGCTCAGAGCCCGGGTCCATCTCGTAGCTTGGTTCACACGTGTAAGTTTGCTGTAAGAGTATCTCGGCTGTGAAATGTTTCCATGCCATCCCTCGCGCTGCGCCTGATTAGTTTTCATTTGTTCAGTGATGGCAGTCTGAAAACGTGCTTCAGACTCTCGGCTGCCATGAGCAAACTGCTCTACTTCCCTAACGAAGCTGAGAACCCAAAATACGTGGCACTGTCTGGGACCGTCTCAATCAGGTTGACTGGGCCAAAGGAGACGACATTAATTCTTGTCCCTAGGTCGACGTTGCTGCTGCTGGGATTAGAGAACTCGATTGAGAGGCTTTCTTCCACAGCTTCCAATTTTTGCATCATCCAGAAGGGACAGGGATCTTCTCACCTTTTCACCACCCACCTTTCCTCCACCGTTCCCTTCGCTTAGAGCTGGTGTTTGGGTAAAACAATCGATGAGCTGTGCGGTGTTTAGAGCTGTAGAGGAGGTTGGTTGCCGCATTTCTCTCCACCTGGCTGTTTTCGGAGGATAATTACTGCAGTGAGCTTTCTTTAGCTCTGCTAACCCTAGAGGAGACAGTAAACGCTGCATTAAATACCCTAATTTTCACACAGATTTCTGGTTATTTGGGAGAATGTTTGTGCCAAGTCTCAAAGCGGGGAGGAAAAAGTACTTTGGTTGGCTCTTTATTACCACCGTGCAAGGAAAAGAGCGGACACCGCGGTCCGTAATTTTCTGAATGAACAGCGCATCGAGCTGTAAACTTTCTGTAAGGTCCCTGCAAATGCTGCGTGTGGGTAAAGCCGCGGAAGGCAGGCTGGAAAACCTAGCGGGCTGACGTGCTGAATGAATCCCAGCCCTTGGGGACACCCTTCTCCTCGGCCAACGGCTCTACCCTGCAAACTATAATCTTTCTCTCCGAAATTTTATCGGTTTATCACAGGATGTCACCTCCCTCCACCGGCCATGAAACCAGGAGCTTGGCTTTTGTCACAGCAGCATGTGTTACCGGGGCGCAGGCGAGCACTTAGACCACACCGTTATCCCTGTATTGAAGCAGGCAAGTGATGAAAGCACAGATGATTGTTCTGACAGGATTTGTGCCTATTGCTGGGGAATTAAGCTGAGAATATTTCCTTAACGGGGTTTGTAAAAGGCGTTTTTCATAGAGCTAGCGTTAGTGAACCTGCTCACCTTTTTAAATCTGCTTTTGTTCGAAATAAATCCGAGCAACTTTTAAAGCACCTACATTTACTTAGGCTTTTTTCTTCCTGTGTCTTAAGTGTAACGCTTCCTTTTCTGCTTTTTTGGGGTTTATTTTGTTTCTAGAGGACAAAACCATCCCCCACAAACTAACCCATAAACTCAGCTCTCACCCCTCTCTCTGCTGAGGAAAGTCCTCCTGGGTGACGTACTTTGGGTGTTCTGGTGCATCCACAGAACCCTAAAAAGGAAAAACAGACATGCAGATGTCTTCAGTGTTTGTGCTCGTTAAAAAGTAAAAAGTTCTTTAAAAATAAATAAAGCCTCTCCAAGCAGTAAGGCATGAAAATCAGACATATGTGACGGAAACAAGGTCATGAGGGATCCCAGAACTGGGGGAGCTCCGTAGCTCAGGACGATGCATTTCAGCAGCTCTATTTGAGCTCCCTTTCTAAAATCCGGCACCTCTCCTTTCCCTGTGTTCCCTAAACAAAGATTAAATCCACACAAACAAATTAACAAACTCCAGCTAAAGATGGCAGACATCTGAAGGGTCTGTTAAATATTTCAGCAGTAGAAATGCAGTAGAAATCCTCCTATTTTCAGCAGGTACCAGGGTCCAGAGCCCAGGATGTGCTGGAAACTTCACAATTTCCTTTTTTTTTTTGGTTTTTCCCTTCCTTCACACCGTGACCCCACACTGGAGTGTTTTGTTTTTTTTCTGGTTGACAACATTGCACCCATCGCTTTATGATTTCTCCAGTAGGCTCTGTTTTAGAGGGCTTTAGAAAACAATCTAATCCCCTAACAGCCAAGTGTGGATGTAGAGGAAGTACTTCAAATGCCTCCTGAACCTTTCAGTTTTAATAAACCAAGGTCCTGAAGGTAAGTGTTTCCTCAAGGGGAAAAGGGAACGAACAAATTATTAAAGAATCAGAAATTTAGAAGAGCCCTTGGAATTTGACTCGGAACTTTTCTTCCCCCCGAAGCGTCTCTTTCCCACAATGTTTATGTCAGAATAAAATAACTGGTACGTGCACAATATACATTTAAATATTTAAGTTGTGCTTCATACAGGGTTTCCAGGGCTTTTCAGAGCCTTCTATTTATGCTGAGGTAAAGAGCAGAAATACAAATTCTCACCTGGGCATCAGTGTGCTAGAGGAGGTTATAAACCATTCTCTTTGAATGCTTTTTATTTCCACCACCACCACCAAGTGATGCTTCCTAGAAACAGCCAAAAGCTGAACCTCTGTGTAAAAAAAAAGTAACCAGGGCAAGGTACGCCTTTTGACTTAAATATTTGTGACTCATGACATTTTATCGCAAAGAGTATATGAGCGCAGCAAGGGTGTCTGCTGGAGAGCTTTTGCGCTTTGCAGACCGCAAGCAGGTAGTAGTTTAAAACTTCTTTGCTTCACACGGAGTATTTTCTTCACCTTAAAAAAAAGAACCAAACCTCAAAAGAGCTAGGAGGCAGCCACTATGGAATAATCCTTTGGATGGACAGCAAGAAACTTTCAGAACAAAGTTTCGGAGGGTTTCTGTGCAGCTGAAGGAACATCTGTTATCTCACCCCAGACAGGACTGTTGATTCCAGGAACACTCGAGCGTTCTTGGTTTCTGGTTTAACTGGTATATGCAGAGGGTTTTTTTTTCTTTTTTTTTAAATATTTTTTTACCCAGCCTACAAGTGGCTGCTGCAAGTTTTTCTCTCAGTAAGTCATTTTCTTTAGTACCTCAGTAGAGATGCTTCTATTTTCAGCCTTGTTTTCTAGCGGTATGAGGCACATAGTTTCTCAGTCCTCTATAAGCAACTTTTGAACTGGTCAGCTAATTTCCTGCAAATCTGAGCGAAGGTTACGAGGCCTCTAAGCTAGAAAGTTCCCTTCAGAGTTGTGCAAGTTGGCAGCGAGGCAGCACAGAGGTGGGGAGAGCTCAGCCTTGATCCATTCTCTATCCAAATAGAGACCGGTGATGAGTGGTGCCCTCAGGGCTCGGTACTGGGACCGGGGCTGTTTGATATCACCCGTGA